TGCAATCACATTACATTACACTTTGCAATGTTCTTAAAGATATTTTTACCCTTCAACTTTGTTACTTTGTTAAAAATATTTTGTAATGTTATATTTAAAATAAAAAATATTAAAATAAAATATATAATATAAGAATCAAAAATTAAAATAAAATAAAATATAAAAATTAAAAATATATAATATAAGTAAAAAAATTAAAATAAAATATATAATATAAAAAATTATATTAAAAATAAAAATAAAATATATAAGATTATAATAAAAAATAAAAATCAAACATATGACATTAAATATATTTAAAAAATAATATTATATAAAAATTAATAATAAAAAATATAAATATATTATACTTATATTTTAATAAATAAAGATAATTTTAAAAATTAATATTACAATTCTAGTAAAATACTTGTAAATCAAACTATAATGTTATTTTTTTTATATTTTAATTATTATTTTATTTGTATATCAAATACTATAATATTATTTTTTCTGTAATCACATTACTTACAATCATATTACATTACGTACAATCATATTATATTGTAAAATATCAAATACCATCATAATTTTTTTAAAATTATTTATTAATATATTATTTAAGTTCGACATAAAGGGCGTTTCATTCCTAAGAGCAGAGCCAATGTCATATGTAGCCCAACAGCTCGTAAACTAGCAATGATGTTTTTTGGAGAAAAACAACTGTGAACTTATTGATAGAGATGAGGAGGAAGGCGAGGGGAGAGAATGACTTCGATTGGCCTGGCTTTGAGATTAGTCAAACCGGCTCCCTCGCCCATGTCGACTGGCTCATCCGACGGGGTTAAGATCTCAAACGCTTGTAGCAAACTAGCAAGGCTGAGCTGCAAAACCTGAAGCGCAAACGAAATCCCAGGGCACACTCTTCGACCGCTACCAAATGGAACCAATTCGTAGTTTTGTCCCCTGACGTCGAAATGCTTGTGGGTTGTGAGAAACCTTTCAGGCTGAAACTCGTCCGGATTGGACCAGGCTTTCGGATCACGCTGAAGCTTGGAAAGATTTACTAGAAGTCGTGTTCCAGCCGGGATGAAGTAGCCGGCGGTGGTGCAGTCCTCGACGGACTCATGCGGCACGGAGAGTGGGGCAGCTGGGTATAAGCGAGTTGTTTCCTTGATGATGGCTTGGAGGTAGACCAAGTTCTTGACGTCCGATTCTTGCACCGGCCTTTCTCTGCCAACGTAGGTGTCTAATTCATGTTGGGCTTTTTCCAGGACATCGCGGTGGTTGAGTAGTAAGGAGAGAACCCATGTTATCGTCACTGTCGTAGTGTCTGTGCCACCCAAAATTAAAGCCTGCAAATGATAATGGCCCAATAAGAAAATATTAAATGCCTTTAGGCTTTGGATATGAAAAAGTGTACACTTTGACTAGGCCTTTGGGCTCAATAACAAGGTTAAACATCTAAAATCAGGCATCATGTGCGGTGATTCATATTAATGTATACGAAACTATCTATTTAGATTCATTAAGTTTCATGGTTTATCTCATAAAAAACGATTCACAAACTAAAAATGATTTAACATCAATAATATGAGATTCATGACTTTTTATTAAGATAGTCACACCATGGACTAATAGGGCTGTGACACCATGGACTATTGAACCTTAAGTCTGACAGCTTATTAATGTGTGACAAATACCAATTGGGGCAGTTCGGGTGATTATCAGGTAGTTTCAAGTCGTTTTCCACGTTAATGCATGTGAAACTTAGATCCGTGTTCAACCAAACTATTCTTTTTTTTTTTAATCATGTTACTTGTTTGGTCACTTTTTGTATCTCAATCATTCATACTTTCTGACTAAGCATGTACTAAATTACTATTATTTTCAAAAGAGAAATTTATTATTCATGAGTAAATTATTGTTTTATGATTAGGTGGAATAAATTTATTGAAATAAAAGTTACAAAAGAAAATAAAGAAAATATAGTCTATATGGCCATCCATGGAAAATTAGCACTTTTTTTTTCACAAAAAAAAAATTATATATGTGATATAGCTGAACATGCAGCTCATTTGAGTAGTACTATATAGTTCATATCTAATATACATATATAGTTTTATTTAAACTCTATATCGTGGGATTTAGAATGCAATTTGGAAGCCATCTATTTGTAGCTTTATCTTCAATCCTTGCTTGGACCATGAGACTAGGTTAATTAAGAAGCTTGACCGACAATTTTCCGTATGTTTAGGAGGAAAAGATTAATGACATTAAATAATCCCCTCAGGGAATCTGTTTGTTGTGAAAACAAGAGACTGAATATATGTCAATCAATAGTTGTGGTGTAACAGGGAACGTTGCTTTTTCAAACAAGATAGGCGACAAGTAGAATATATAGTGTTTCTTGTCATCATTTGATTTATTTGGCTTCGTGTATTTGACATGTTTTTCAATGTCATATGTTTGGGTACTTTTTCAATTATTTGATGATATCAAAATAAGAATTGCCCCGTGAGTAAAAGTTGGATGACATGATTGGAGGAATTCAAATAAAGTATAGTGGTCTGGAAATGTTATATTCTTGACTCTTTCAAATTCAATGTTGATGGAGCGATAAGGAATAGTTTAGCTCGGAATAAGTGAGATGCTGTGAGATGAGATAGGTTCTATTATAATTTTGTTCTCTATTTCTATTGATTTAGGAGATTTGATCCTCGTTGATTTGTTTGCTATTAGAGAAGCTTTCAAAATAATTTGTTACGTCTAAAGGAGCAAATAACCTTGGATTGACAATTGGAAACGATTTAATGTGGTTAACTAAGTTTTGAACCCTTACTTCGTCCTGTGGAGGTTAAGGAAGTGGATTCTAGGTAGTGAAAGTACTAAAACTCAAGTGGGCATTTGGTTCCTCAAGTTGCCAACGATCTGGCGGATGCTCTTGCCAAAGCTGGGAAATCTTTTGCTGGTAATTAACTAGTGAGTGGGTTTTTCCCTTCCGTATAAGCAAATGTTATGGCCGCATGGTTTGTGATGGTAACTTCTTTGACTTGTGGTTGTGTTCTGTTTTGGAGTTTTGATTGGTCCGGGTTCTGGTTTTGTCTGACAACTGAGTTGGATCTTGGTTGGAGTGGTCTTGATGTGTGGCTTGTTGTTTTACATGTCGGATGGCACACGCACCAGAACGACATGTCCTGGCCAACTCAATGATGTATTTAAGAGATTAGAGTTATTATTTTGGTTTCCTTGGCTCTGTTAAATTTTAATTCTAATCTTAACGTGTTGATGCAGTCATAGTAGATAGAGATCGATGCTACCTAACTCGTACTGTCTGATCCAGGTATCGAAATTAAGCAGAAAAGCAAACAGGAAAAGATGTGATTCGGGGCCAAATTCGGCAAGAACTCACCAGGCACGTGGCTTTGTTGATTGTATCAGCATCATAGCCAGGGAGCTCTGCAGCATCGTTAAGAAGCGACAACATCCTGTCCATGAAGTCATGCTCACTGTCCGCGTTGCCTGAATTTCTCTTCTGCTTATGCTCCTCTAACCATTCCTCAAGGATGTGGTCCAGTTCTTTGGCCGTCTTCTTCATGGCCTTCTCATGTCCTCCCAGATCCAACCACCTCAAGAAAGGCAGCGAGTCGCCAGTCGTGAACGTTCCCGTCAGTTCAAAGAAATCCCTCAAGGCTTTTCTGTGTCGATCGTTCTCGTCTTTCCCGTGCGAAGTTTCAGCCTCAGAGTATCTCTTCCCTATAACCATCTTGAAAACCATGTTTAAGTTTAAGGTCCAAAACCACCTCTTCATCTCCACAAGCACCTTTCCTGAACTACTATTGCTTACGCCCTTAACCCCTAACTCGTAAAGTTCTTTAATCGATATCCTAACCTCGGATTCTCGTATATGTTTGAGCTTCTCCAGGCGGTGGGTCGACAGTACCTCGAGCGTCGCTATCTTGCGAATTTGACGCCAGTAGGGGCCGTAAGGGCTGAAACCAAACATAGCATAATTGTAACCCAAGAGCTCTGCAGCTAGACTTCTTGGACGGTTGGCAAATGCTTTGTCGTTGGTGGTGAAACACTCTTTAGCAATCTCCCAATTGCTTACGACTAGCGTTGGGTGCATGCCTAACCTGATGGTGAAGATCGGTCCGTATGTGTCAGCCAAGTCACCCAAAACGATGTGGGCAGGCGTTGGCCCTCCTAACAGGTGGAGGTGGCCTAGAAAAGGCCTTGCGCCGCTAACTTCCGGAGCTTTTCTCTTCATGCCCGATCTTGTTCGATTAATCACTCTCGTAAATAACAAGTAGCAGAAGAGCAAAAAGGCAAAGACGCCAGCCATCCAACTTGCAGGGCTTGGAAGGAGGGTTTCCATCGCTGATAGCTCTTACTTCTGTGCTTTGATGTCTTGGAATGAAGATGAAAAAACTTTAAGATAAGAGAGTGTGACAGTTAGTATTGTTTTTGCCTTCCACCTCACGATTCTTATCTCCAACATTTTGTTTAATCTTCTTTTAATTAGTCAAACTTTAATCGTATTATTTATGAATTAATATATATATTAATAAATTTACATCATTTGGATTTTCTCTATTTGAAAAGTTAGTGGGACGGTCTAAATTTTGTCGTTTGCCAAAGGGTGGCTCAGCATTTTGATGGTTTGTGTCATGTCGGAGTGCTTTTCTTGGTTTGGGTACGGTTCATCGAATGGCGTTGCTGTGTCAAACTCATGCAGCAAATTAGCTGCATAAGCTGAAGCGCAGAGGAAACTCCTGGGCACATTCTTCTACCACTTCTAAATGGTATCGACTCAAAATCCTGACAACTTACATCAAAATTTTTGTAACTAGTCAAAAACCTTTGTGGTTGAAACTTGTAATCACGATGAATTATTGTAAAGATTGAAGAAAAGTTCTGTGCCTGCAGGGGTATGGTAGCCATTAATAGCCCAAAAGTAAGCTGAAGTTTCATTTATTGTTGCAAATGCTACAAAGCTAAGCTGAAGTTTCTTTTATTGTTGCAAATGCTACAAGCTAATAACAAACAGCAGGAAGACGTGGAGTAATCAGGACTTCAAGGGGAGAGACCTTCAAGTTTGTCAGCCCTATGGCTTCGCCCATATCAACTGGTTCATCTAAAGGGGTCCCTAGCTCGAACCCTTGCAGCAGATTAGCTAGTGTAAGCTCCAACACTTGGAGCCCAAAGGAAACTCCAGGACACATTCTTCTACCGCTTCCAAATGGGATCAGCTCAAAGTTCTGGCCTTTGACATCGAAATCTTTGTGGGTAGTTAGGAATCTTGCTGGTTGAAACTCGCAAGGATCTGGCCATACATGTGGATCGCGATAAATTTTGTAAAGATTGATGAGAAGTCGTGTGCCTGCAGGGATATAGTAGCCACTCACGACGCAGTCTTCCATTGACTCATGCGGCACTGAAAGTGGTGCAGCAAGATATAAACGCAGGGTTTCCTTGAGGATGGCTTGAAGGTAGACTAACTTTTTAATGTCTGATTCTTCAACTAGTTTGTCTCTACCAACATGGACGTCTAATTCTTCTTGTGCTTTTTTCAATGCGTCGCGGTTGTTAAGTAGTAAAGACAAAGCCCATGTCAGTGTAACCATTGTTGTATCAGAGGTTGCTAAGATCAAATTCTGCAAGAAGGTTGATTTATACCATATCAAAAGGAAATTGCACATACAATTTTACATCAAGAATTAAGAATATAAACAAAAGTCCATGAAGCACTTTGTCAAGAATCAAACGAGGATCAAGCAATGCATCCTTTTAAGAAAGTTAGAACAATGGTGTATGGTCTAGTCAAAATGGATTTTATTACTAAAAATCATTTTTTTTAAAAAAAATTGTTATTGGCTTTAACACAATTATATATCTTAATAGATTTATCCTAGCGAATATTGTAATGATTTGTTGATTTGATTTTTATATTTTATACGTATAGTAATGGATCTTATCTTTGGATTTATCTAATAATATAATTATATGTCTTG